TTATTAAAATTTTTTAAAAATCATTACTATGTTATTTTAAACAAAAATTTATAGAGTAGGCAGCTAATATGGGTCTCTCCCCTCAGAGATGCCCTTGGATATGATCTGTTGTTTCTTTTTATCTTTCAATTTCTTCATATTTTACAGCAAGCTTATATTCCCGAACATAATTGTGTTATAAAGCTTATAAAAAAGGATTTCATGCTTGTTTCTCTCAGCCTCATGTTTGTGAGATGACTCCCTCATATTAAAGTAAGAAACAGCTGTCCATTAATCATCACTGTATTATACTGTAAGATTTATTTTGTTCTATTTAGGATTTGGGTTTTCCCATTTTGCCTTATTCCAAGCAATATTGCCCTGAACACTTATGCAAATTTCCTAGTGCATACACGCATAGAAGTGTTTCCACATTGTCCTATATTGAATAATTTGATTTCCAGAGCATAGAGCTTGGGTAAGGGATAAAAGACATAGGCAAAATGCTTCCTAACATCTATACTTCTTGTTGTGAGTAAAAAGAATAGTTTCTATAGTTCTACTGATTTCATTTGTTGATATTAAAATGTTTGACCACCACGTAGATGTAACAGATCTTCTCAGTTTCATTAATCAGGTCTACCACAGTGGAAAGGTAGGATATGATTTCATTGACTTGTCAGCTTTCACAGCTGAATGTTGCTATCTCTATCCTCCTTCACCTCTTCCTCATCTTCTAGGATTCCTCCTTCTCTTAGCCCTGGAATTTCAACGTGCTGAGGCAAAAATGGGGCGAGGTCAGCACCTTCTATAGTCTAAAAATAACACTGCTGCTGAAGAAATTCAAGTTGGCAGAGTTCACATGCTAGACACAAGTTAGTAGACATGGTACAATTTCTTAATGATCCACAAAGGGAAAATGAGGCCCCTTGAGAGATGGAAGGGATTTGTGCAAAAGCACAAAGGAAAGCAAGGGACTCAAAACTGTTAACTGGTCAACACTGCTTCTATCCACTTCACGTATATTCAGTACTTAGACTCATCGTCATATATTTCATTCACCTTACACCCAACAGTCCAATTGTTTCTATCACTTGTCCACTGGAAAGGTGCAGGGCCTGGGATTCAGAAAGGCAAATACCTTTCTCAAATCACTCTGCCTGCAAGGGATAAATCCTGAACTACAGGGCTCTAAAGACAAAAGGTATTTTAAGTCCACATCCAAATTGTTTGAAAAATAAAGTACTTTAATAATCTTGAGTATATCAGAGATTATGAAGATGGTACAGGACCGAGTAAGGTTCTGATCTGTTGTTCATAGGGTTGCTGTGAGTCATAGTCAAGTTGACAGAACATAATAACCAACAACAGCATATTTAATACACAATATATTTGACTGGTTTTACTTCTCTAGAGAATTCAGTCTAAAAGATCAAATATTTGAGATACAAGGCTCAAAATGTCTAAACTATTTTTCTACCACAATTTTCTCAGAGCAAAAGCACAAGGAATAATAACTTCCACTTAAAAAGAGTGCATGAACAGTGCTAAAATCTATAAACATAACCTTGCTGAACACCCAAAGCAAAAAATGAGATATTTTATTATCTCTTGTGCCACATGAGAAAGTCAAGGTTTAGAAGAATAAAGTTAGCTTAGTCGCTTCCACAGCTCTTAGGCAATGGAATAAGAATCTGAAGTTCCTCAGATATTCCACAGTTCTTGTTTCTTTATTTTCTTTTTAATGACAACGAGATAAAGAAATCAGCTTGATGACAAATTAGTTGAAAACATTGCTCTGAGGTTACAGGTGGGTATCATGAATTGCATGTATCCCTCAAAAATATATGCAAACTTGGCTAGGGTAGGACTCTCAGTGGCTTGGCAGTAATGTCATGATATAGTTTGGCACTTATGTAATGACGTGGTCATTCTCCCATGATGTGATCAGGTCTAAAGAAATTATGGTAGGAAGGAACACAAGTCACAACTCTGATCTAAAGAATAAAGAGTCTAATAAATCTGATGAACAAATGATCTAATGAATAAAGAATCTCCCTACCAAGTAGCTGGCATCATTTCTATAAGCAGGATTTTGGATCGGTTCAATCTAGTTCAATCACAGCTGTCTTAAGTTATCAAGGACTGCTATCACAAAAACACAAGTGGATGGTTTTTTAATAAACAGAAAGCTTATCTCTTATAGCTTAGAAAGTTAAAAGTCTAAATTCAGGGTGCCAGCTCTAGAAGGCAGTTTTTTCTATTAGTTCTAGAGTAAGATCTTTGTTTCTTTCAGTATCTCAATGTACTTTGGAGATGTCTATATGGCTTGGCATTCCCTGTGCTGAGGAGTTTTATAGTGCAGGAACCTGGATCCAAACGTTGCATTCTACTTGATGGTACTGAAGTACTCCCCTCTTTGCTCATTTTTCTCTCCTTTTAGCTCTTGTAACAAAAAAAAATGTTACATATCATACTCAGAGAACTTCCCTCACACTGGGTCAGGGCTGTGCTGGAATGAAGAGGTTGCATCCCATCATTAACCTTCTCCTGGCTGCTTGGCTAATAATTAGATCATAAGGGATCATTTAGAGTCATGTATTTTGGGAGAGACACAATTCAATCTATGGCAATAGCCAAGACTCCTGAATAGATGCAAATTTAAAAAATTAAAGTGAACTGGAGAAATAATTGGAATAGCAAAAATTATGACTCAAAATCCTACTAGAAACTTCATCTCCCTCTTCACACACACTCACTCATTGCTGTCAAGTCAAAACAACTCAAAGCTGGCTCTCCAATGGGTTTCCAAGGCTATGAAGCACACAGGAGGAAACGGCTTGTCTTCTCTCCAAGGAACTGATGCTGGATTCAAACCATCATGAAGGGGTGGCATTTGGGTTAGCAGCACAACTCCTGAAAGATTATGCCACCAGAGTTCTCTAATCTGCCCCTTGCTGTTATTGTTGTGTGCCATGGAGTCAGAACTGACTCATATCCTCCAACGAGTTTTCAGTGACAGTAAATCATACAGGAAGAGACTACTCATCCTTTTCCCACAGAGCAGTTGGTGGATTTGAACCACATGTCTTTGGGATCACAGTGCATCTTCTTACCACTAGGCCACCAGGGCTCCACCATTGGGGGGATATATGCCCAATTTTTTTTATATATACTTAATTTTTCCCCATTCTAGTTATCATTCTTTTCTACCTACATTTTTAAATTTTCAGTTTCTTATAGTTTTGATTCACCAGCCTTGACTGAAGCAGTCTGAATCCGTTCAAAGCACAGTTTTTTTTCCAAAGCACAATTTACAAGAGATAAGAGGAGAAAGATATGCACACAGAAGGAGAAAGCAGGCTCTTACCAAGAAATAAGAGCAAAGAGTGAAGCATATCCTTTTGACTCAGGATCCCTGTGCTGAGAACCCTCAAAACATAGGGGAAGGATGATGTCAACACACATGGAGAGTATGGCTCTCAAAGAACACTGGGCTCATACATATTGAAAAGAGGTAAGGACATTCCTAAAAAACCAACAGAGAGAAAGCCTTCCCCTAGAGCTGGTGCTCTGTATTTAGACTCCTAGCCTCCTAAATGTTGAGAGAATGATTTTTTTACTAAAGTCACTCACCTGTTATAAAACAATTAAATAACTAAGACAGTGGGTAGAGACATTTCCAAAAACCCAAATGCTGCCAGAATTGAAGACAAAGAATAAACCGACAGGTTAAAGATGGGGTTCATGAGTAGTAGTTTCAGGTAAGATACACAGAATAAAGTAAGGAGATAGGATGATGAGTCAGCGGTGTCAAACCAAAACATGAGAAAGTTCCAAGGGACTTTTTCCCAAGCGAAATATTTCTCTCTCCATCAAACTCTTTTTTTTTCTGGTATCTACTTCCTAGGGCTCAGGAGAAGAAAAAAAATAAATTAGTAGTGTCCACAGTTGAATCTAGGTAGGGAAACACGAGGGAGAGACCACAGGAAAAACTCCAGACTGCTACCAACCAACACAAAACACAAAGTACAAGAGAAAAAGGAGGGAGAACACTTTAGGCAAATTTAATGATTTAAAGGCTGTTCACTGAACAGCAGGAAGATGTACTTTCCATGACAGGAAGTTGCTTCATCATTTGCATCTTTTCTCCAATGCTTCACTGTCTCTTTTAAAGTCTTCCTCTGGGAAGGTCTGCACAAGTCAACTCAGAGTGGCAATCCGCTCAGTTGAGCAGTATGTCGAAGAATCTTTCAGAGTGGTCTTGCAGAGAACATGCCCTTTCAGTGTCTGTGAGCTGGCAGAGGTGACCTGGAAGAAAATGAGTCAAAAGAAGGCAAAGTAACTAGGACTGCACCACAAAGTCTGAATATAGAGCCTCTGGAGGAGAGGCCACCAAAAGGAACGTGCTGTAGATGACAGGCTGATGATACAGGCTGCATTGTTCCTGTAAACCCTAAGCCACTAGAAAAAAAGAGATATAATGGAGATGCACACATTTTAAGTGATCAAAAATTGGCCAGCCTGTAGCCACTTACTCCTCTTCTCTCAGAAAATGGGTACTCCACAGTTGCAACCATAAGATACAGGTATAAAATGCCTATCACAGACTCTGATCTAAACCTGGAGGTATGCTGTGAATTAGCCTGGGGCAGTCAAATTGTTCTTTAGCATATTTAGAGATAAAATGTGGTGAGAACGATTCTCTTTCTTGTCTAACTGGAAACAAAAATAATCTAACCTCAATGTTTTCAGCAGTCAGCTCTCTAACCATGACAGGAAGTCAGTCCATTAACAAATATTTTTGAGTGCTTATAATGAGTCTCCAGCAATTCAAATCCACTAGGAGCTTTGCAGGAGAAAAATGGGCTATCTCTTCATGTGTAATTCACAGCCTCTGAAAGCCAGTTGGAGAGTGAGGTGTGAGTTGAACAGCAATGAGCGAGACAATTATGCGTCAAGCATTCTCCAAGGTGCTGAAGCAGAGTTTTTAAAAAAACAGCTATTTTTTCCTGTCCTCAAAGGAATTTACATTTTACTAGAAGGCAAGACTTATGTAATATGTAAGCCGACAAAATAAGATTAATTTCAGACAACACAGATGAAATGGGTTAATATAAACATGACTGGAGCAAGGTAGAGAAAGCATTAGCATTACAGTAGACAGGGAAGGCTTCTCCAAAGAGGTAAATTTAAGAGAGAATTAAATTTTAGATTTTAAAAAGGCAGTCAGTTACCTTAGTAAACATTGCCTCCTTTTCCATAGATCAAAAGTAGTGAATGTGTCTGGCTACTTTATTAACTGTTTGATCAAAGATTTTATAGAAGACTCCTAATCAAAATGGGAGAAAGCAAAACAGAAATTCAAATTTTCATGAACTCTAGACTTTCTGGATTTTGAAAGGCTGGATGAAGTTCTGAAACTATTACCCTGAGAGAATCCTGAAACTTTAAACTAAAAATATCATGAAGAGTGTTGTTTCTACCATGGACTGTCAAAAAAGAAACAAAGCTGTCTTAGAAGAAGTGTAGCCAGGGTGTTCTGTGGAGCACAGGGGCTTGCTATCAAAGGGGCCAGTCCTTGAAAGAGGACATCATGCTTGGAAAAATAGGCTAGTAAGTGAAGTAGAGGAAGACCCTTATGAGATGAACTGATACAGTGACGACAACGGGCTTATGCACTGCAGAGATGGTGAGCATGGTGCAGGATCACACAAGCCTTGAAACTTTTACATAAGGTCTCCGCAAGACAGAGTCTACTCAGCAGCACGTAACAATACGTGAAAAGGTCTGCCTTGAGTATGACATTCTTTTAAGATCTACATATGGGATCAAATTGACAACAGTAACTCAAAAGATTAGACAGAAACCTTAGAGGCAGTAAATTATATTATTAATATAATTATTAGTAATTATAATTATTAGGAACAGTAAATAATATTAGTTATATTATTAATATAACAGGAAGAACTACTCAGAAAAGGCTAAGAATAGTTAAACAACTCGAGGAATACAATGAATGAGACATGTACAATCTGTTGAATTTTTGTATGTTTTGCTGTATATATTGTCAACAACAAAATAAAGGTACAAAAATCTTAAAAATATGTATCAATTCTGCTGATCAATTGGGTCATCAGTAAGAGAGAGATTAAAGAAACCATGTGGCTGTTGCTGTTGTGACATACTATTGAGCTGGAACTGACTCACAGCTGACCCTCCAGCAGGTTTACAGAGGCAGTAAATTGCCCAGGAAGAAGAGACTGCCCATCTTGCTCCTGAAGAGCAGCTGATTTGAACCATGTGTCCTTGAGTTGGCAGAGCAACTCCTTCCCATTAAGTTACCAAAGCTCCCTAAAGAAATTATTCTAGAACAACAAAATAATGAGGGGCAGATTGAAGGGGAAAAGCAGTCAAGCAAAGAGACAGAGCCTCTCATGCAACAACACATACAAAGTCCCTGAGACTAAAGTCAAACCTGAGGGGCAAAAGAGAGGCCATCAACGCTGGATGAGAGAATTGAGAGAGTAGAGGGGCCAGGAGACTGGCAAGGTAGCTGTGAGAGAGAGATCACATAAATTCAAGTTTTAAGTTGTTATTGAATATTCAACAATACAACAGTTTCTATATGCATATTTCAGGCCAACCATTTTCACCTGCTTTCTGGATAGCTCCTCCTCTATTAACATAAACTCATTTTAGTGTGGGAGAGATTCTTACCCTAGTATTACAGTGATGGTAGAGGCCGTAATATCTGATACACAACACTGAAAAGATGAGATAAATGACACTGTAACTGTCATTATACACACACACACACACACTCAAGCTTAGAGGTTGAACTCAGGAAGACAGCAGATAACCAATGGCTGTGAGAGACAAACTTTGAAGTTCTGTGAGGGTGGCATGCAACTTGCCTCCCACAGAAGAATGTCATTTATTTGTCTGAACACTTCCACAGATGGACTAGGGAAGTGAAAGCACATACACAAGGATAAGTAGGAACTGTCCCTTGTTTCCTTGGTAAGAGGATTATTTGGCTAAGGGGATCTTATGCATGGGAATAGATTAAGGAGTGGAACGTCTACTTAAGACAGTTAAGGCCCTCCCAGTTCACTAGAAGTCAAGGCAGCATATAATACGGTCTTAATTTTAGGCCTTAGAACACACTGATCCAAGCAATGAGCTATGATTTAATAACTCAAGACTGAAGTGACGGTAAGATCAAGGACAGAAAGCAGAGTAGAGGATGAAGTTCCATAGAATAAAAAGAAAGAGGTAATGCTGACCAACATCAGTGAAAAAAAAATCACCCTCTCCTCATCTCACTCTCTTTTGCAAATGGCTTTGGCATTGGAGAAGCATCTGCACTCCTGCCTACACCCTGCTGGTGTACAATGCCCTGCCGGCTGTTGGTGCCAGGGCAGAGTGGACACAGGATCAAAACAAAGGGAAGATGGAAGTGTCATACCTATGGCAATTGGGAAGAAATGAAAAGATGAAGGAAGAAATAGGAGAAAAGAAAGAATAAACTCAGTAATTGGAAGAAAAGAAATAAGACGTCCTTTAGCTATACAGCTAAATCTGCTATTCCATAGAAGGGTCCCAGGAAACTTAAGCACATATAATAAGCACATATATAGGCACATATAAGCACATATATAGGGATGACTAAGGTCTCAGAGACCACCATGAGTATGCTAAACTCTGCCAGAGAACACTATCCATTAACTAAAGCACCTCTGCAACAGAAACTCAATATTACGTTCCAATCTCACCAAGATCCTACACAGGGTCTTCTACTATGGTAGAAGAAAGAAGTTGTTAGGAGCAATCTAAAATTCAACCCAAGTGCCCTTCTGTTCTATTCAGTGAAAAAATTGCCAAGAAACGATACAGAGAAGATTAGCATGAGCCCTGCGCAAGGATGACACGCAAATTCGTGAAGCGTTCCATATTTTTTTGCATTTGTGAACCCCTCCTTCCTGAGTCAAGCAGAAGATTTTCAATAGAAAGAGCTTGGCTTCATTTGCATTGAATTCTCTTTGTGATTTACTTCCTGATAATTTTCAATAAAGACACAGAGAAGCTTGACTTGGGGTCTTCAGTCGAGAACTGCTGGCCCCCTGTTTTATGCTCTCTGCTCTATCACCAAAAAAAAAAAATTGCCAAGAAGGGATTTTAATCAAACAAGAGAATTTTTCCACAAAAAAAATCTGTGGAAAATTATGCAACCTAATATTTTTTTCACAGTGTAAGAGTAAGCACCCAAAAGGATACCTTACCTTCACCAGGACATAGTCCCCAGGCTGGGCTCTGACAGTGAGCCCAGGGTTAGTAGCATCTTCCATCTCTATATCAGGAAAGATCACCTTAAGATTTCCATCATTTCGGCCACACAGGTCAGTGGAAGAACGTTTACTGAGCTGTAAAAAAGAACAAAGGCAGGTTTGCTAAGGGTGTAAATCACAAAAAGCCCATCTTTCTTCCTCCGAGTCATTAGAGGATTCAAAATTTCTGTTTAATTATAACAGCACTAGATAACTAAGACAGTCCCATTAAGTCTTTGCTGAGTATTAGTACATGCAAGAATGGAGTGAAACTCCAGTTCATGCAAACATAGCAACCTAGAAACTGTCATCAGAATATTATCCAAGATCATACAGTCCAGAAAGCCAGATAGTAGTAGTGAGGCTAAACTAGCCCTAGCATTAAAAAAGTTTTTTCCAGCAAAGCTTAAAAATAAGCCTTGAAAGGATCAAAATGAGTAGAAAGAAACTTTTGCTGCTTATTAGCACAAAGTCAAATCCAAGATCCAGACATACAAAAATGAACATCACAATGTCCATTATGAAATAAATAAAATTAGTAGATATTCCACAAAAACAGAAAAACGTGATCCATAATCAGGAGAAAAATTAGTCATAGAAAAAGTTTGAGAAATAAAAATAATGTCAGAAATAGCACAAAAAGATACTTAAACAACTACTAAAACTAATTTTAAAATATTTCAAGGGAATAACAGTGAAGAACAAAACATATAAAAGACAGGTGGAACAAAACAACTATGAGATAATCATCTCACCCCAGTCACAATAGCAAAATTTAGCAGAACAGCAAGCAACAAATGCTGGTAAGGTCATGGAGAAACTGGAACCCTTATTCACTGTTGGTGGAAGTGTAAAATGGTGCAAACACTGTGGAAGGCGGTGTGGCACTTTCTCAAAAGGTTGTAAATAGATATACCATTTGACCCAGCAATTCCACTACTGCCATCCAAGCAGATATATGCACACCCATGTTTATCACGGCTTTGCTGAAAACTATAAAGAGCTGATAAAAGAAATCAAAGATCTAAACAAATGGAAAAACATACTTTTTTTCTATAGCACTACATATATATACATGCACATGGCCTCACCCCCTCAACCAGCACCAACTGGGTACAGCCCACAAAGGCCTTGTTGGCTTTTGTTGCTTCTTCTCGGAAGACAGTGATGAGCTCCTCCAAACGCCTTAATTTTACCACTTCCGGGACATCATCCTGTAGTCTATGATATGCCCGTGTTTTCTATTAAAAAAAAAAAACAAAGAAAGAAACTGGAAGTCCCTACAGACTTATAGAATGCATCCCTGAGATATAAACAGGGACTGTGTTCATTCCACTTGTAAACTACAGACACATGTACAGAAATCCAAGCCATGCCAAAGGGCTTTCAGACTTCCTAAGTATTCCAAGAGAAAAGGGTACAGTAGAGTTAAGCTGTATTTTTCACAAGATTTAGTTTCTAAAGCTAGCATAGGAAATGAGAATTATAAACCCAAAACTACTCTTGGTATTTATCCTAAGGTTCTATTTTTATCTTATGTTAAATTGCTCAAATTCTTTCTCTCTTTCTGCTGTCCAGTCAAAACCAACTCATAGCTGACCATCCAAATGGTTTTCAGAGGCTGTAAAATGCACAGGAAGAGACTGTTCATCTTTCTTCTGCAGAGAAGCTGGTAGATTTGAACTGCTCATCTTTGGGCTGGCAGCACAACTCCCTATCCACTAGGCCACCAGTTTAAATACTAGGTTACTCATTATAGCATTATTTATAAAGATGCAAAATGCAAACCATATAAGTAAATTAATTCTTTGTCAACAAATAATTACTAAAACTAATTTAGTAATTTACCTATATTGCCGAATCCTATGCAGGTATTAAAAAGAGTAAAGTAATTACATATACTGATATAAAATGTTCTCCAAAACTAACTGGAATAAGTATGTTAAAGAGCAACATGTACACAATACCTTTGGTGTCTAAAGAACACATACAAGCATGATTATAAATACATGAACTATCACTGGAACCCTATGTACAAATCTGCGTTATACAGATGACACAACCTTGTTCGCTGAAACTGAGGAGGACCTCGTGCACTTACTGCAGAGGGTCAAGGACTGCAGCCTTCAGTATGGACTGAGG